TGAGAGAAGGGTGGTGGTGAGAGAGGTAACAGTAATCAAGTATTACCTGGTGGCCTCAACGCCCTCCTCAGTCAGCTGAGGTGAGCAGGGCGACTCAGTCAACCTCCTGGGGCTCTCTCCTCCCTAGCTCTTCAATGTTACTATCTTCTCTTCTACTTTGTACTCATCTTCACTCGCTTGTATTTTATAGCAAGTATTTTGAGTGTGATGATAGGATGTTTACACGAAGTGAAGCTCTCTTTGAGACGACCAAGTATGTGGGTGCCCCCTCACCCATCCACCTCAGCTGCTGCCTAGAACCACACACCCATCCACCCTCACACACTCTTCTACTCACACACTAACCCATCCCTCACTCATCCACCTTCACAAACTCATCTACCCTCTCTCACCCACTTACCTACCTTCACACATTCACCCTCACTCACTCATCCACCCTCACACACTCACTCACTCATCTACTCACACTCACCCCTGACTCATCTACCCCTCACACACCCACCCTCACTTATCCACCCTCTAATGTTTCTGGATACGTAGCACCTGCAGCCTAATATAGCTGAGTACTGGCTCACTAATGTTAGTGTGGGTATATAATGTTACACATGACAGGTGGGAATTGTTAATGTGGGTGTATAATATTACACATGACAGGTCAGTTCATCATTGTTAGCGTAGGTGTACAGGTACTGTAGTAAGTTGGTAGATGGCAACCGACCTGTCACGTGGTTGTGACACGGAAACCATTTAAACGTTTTGTACTTTGAAAGGGTTGCTGGTCTTCTCTTTCTTTCTCATGAGCACGAAAGATGGCAGGCAATTCTTACAAATTTCAACTCACATTCAGTATACATTTCTCTTTAGTTTCTTTTGTGTTGCTTAATGCTTACTTCCAAATTTACCCTTCATGTAGGTTGCCTTGATGATGGTGAAGGCATCTTAATTAATCCAGGGAATTAGACCTGCCCTCTCCTTCTTTGGGTCAGACCTGATTACCTTCCACTCCATTATCTCTCAGCCCACAGTAACCAGTGACTTCTTCAGTCCAGTGCCTTGAACATCAGTGTATAATTTACCCTCTTTTCTCCCCCTGGGATGTTTGTCATGGTACACTGCCTGCTGCTAGGTAGTTTATCGGGGAGTCATATGTCAGCTCCTGCTAGGTCTGGGTAAAAGTCTGTTCCTATTGACCAAGCTGGGGCTTTTGTGCATAGGTTTCTGGCTTTGCCAGGGTTTAAGCTAGGAGGTCCACCACCAATAGTGCGGAGTCAGAAAAAAATGCATCAAGAGAGAACCCAGCCACAAAAAATTCTAGCCAACAGAAATCAGTTCTATGCAAATTCTGTGCCTTGGGTATCTGTTGGGATGAAATATCTGGAAAAACAGGTGGGACATGCAATTTTGACCATCTCAAAAAATGCCGCTACCTCATGACCAAAGGTGAATGCAACTCTTCTTTTAAACTATTTCACCCTGAAATGTGTTTCTCCTCAGACCATGAAAGAAAATGCTACAACACATCTACCTGGAGGTTATTCCGGGGATCAACGGCCCCGCGGACTGGTCCACGACCAGGCCTCCCGGTGGATCAGGGCCTGATCAACCAGGCTGTTACTGCTGGCCACACATAATCCAACGTACGAACCACAGCCCGGCTGATCCGGCACTGACTTTAAGCATCTGTCCAGCTCCCTCTTGAAGGCAGCCAGGGATCTATTGGTAATTCCCCTTATGCTTGGTGGGAGGCTGTTGAATAGTCTTGGGCCCTGGACATTTATGGTGTTTTCTCTTAGTGTACCAATGGCGCCCTTACTTTTAATTGGGAGTATTTTGCATCGCCTGCCCAGTCTTTTACTTTCATAGGGAGTGATTTCTGTGTGCAGATTCGGGACCATTCCTTCTAGGATTTTCCAAGTGTAGATTATGATATATCTCTCCTGCATTCCAACGAGTACAAGTCAAGTCAAGTGCCTCCAAGTGTTCCCAGTAGTTCAGGTGCTTGATAGAACTTACACCTGCAGTAAAGGTTCTCTGTACACTCTCTAGATCTGCAATTTCACCTGCTTTGAATGGAGATGTTAATGTACAGCAGTATTCCAGCCTAGAGAGAACAAGTGATTTGAAAAGGATCATCATTGGCTTGGCATCTCTTGTTTTGAACGTTCTCATTATCCATCCTATCATTTTCTTTGCACGTGTGATCGTGGCACTGTTGTGATCCTTGAAAGTGAGATCTTCAGACATTACTACTCCCAGGTCCCTTACATTATATTTCCGCTCTATTGTATGGCCAGAGTTTGTAGTATACTCTGTTCTAGTTATTATCTCCTCCAGTTTTCCATAACGGAGTAGTTGGAATTTGTCCTCATTGAACATCATATTGTTTTCCGTTGCCCATTGGAAAACTTGGTTTATATCTTCTTGGAGGTTAACCGTGTCCTCAATAGATGACAGTCTCATGCAGATCCTAGAATCGTCTGCAAAGGATGATACAGTGCTGTGGATTACATCTCTGTCTGTGTCTGATATGAGGATGAGGAACAGGATGGGGGCGAGTACTGTGCCTTGTGGAACAGAGCTCTTCACTATGGCAGCCTCCGATTTAACTCTGTTGACCACTACTCTTTGTGTTCGATTGGTTAAGAAGTTGAAGATCCATCTCTCCACTTTCCCAGTTATTCCTTTAGCACGTATTTTGTGCGCTATTACGCCATGATCGCACTTGTCAAATGCTTTTGCAAAGTCTTGTGTATACTACATCCGCATTCTGTTTTTCTTCCAGTGCATCCAAGGCCATATCATAGTGATCCAGTAGTTGTGAGAGGCAGGAGAGATTTGCCCTGAACCCATGTTGCCCTGGATTGTGCAGTGTTTGGGAATCCAGGTGGTTTGCAATCATGCTTCTTAGCACCCTTTCAAAGATTTTTATGATGTGGGACGTTACAGCTATTGGTCTATAGCTCTTAGCTACTGCTTTGCTGCCACCTTTATGGAGTGGGGCTGTATCCGTTGTTTTAAGTGACTGGAATTTCACCCATGTGTAAGCTCCTTCTCCATAGTATACTTAGGGCACGTGAGAGGGGTTTCTTGCAGTTCTTAATGAACACAGAGTTCCACGAGTCTGGGCCTGGGGCTGAGTGCATGAGCATGTTTTCAATGGCTTTTTCAAAGTCTATCGGAGTTAGGGTAATGTTGGAAATCTGGCATACATTGATGGAGTTTTGAGGCTCATTCATGAAATCATTTGGATTGTCGATCCTCAGACTGATTAGTGGCTCACTAAACACAGAGTCGTACTGGGATTTCAGTATTTCACTTATTTCCTTGTTGTCATCTGTATAAGTCCCATCCTGTCTTGAGTAAGGACCCAATACTAGATATGGTATTTGCCTTGTTTTTGACATATGAAAAGAAATATTTCGAATTTCTTTCACATACTGTCAGGCACACCACTTAAAGGACACAAGAAGGTACACCTCATTCAAACCATGGGAAACAAACCAGGATAGTCACAACTTACTCCAGAGAAGAGATTTTTTAGTGCCAGGAAGGGGAAAAATGCTGGCAAGAAATGACATAAATACTGCACCACCTCGGATCACTACTGGAGTGGAGGCACAGCCAGTGGACCCCACTCCAGAACAACTGATATTAGTGCCAGATAAAGCCCCCACACATACCATCAGTATTTGCAAATATACAGGGGTCTAAAGCCATCAACAAACAACAAAATGCCTTTCATCAGTGGACTCCTCACAGAGTCAAATGCAATGTGTACAGCTTTCACAGAGACCTACACAAAGGATCACTTTAACAACGAAATAAGGATCCCAGGGTACAACTTATTCAGATGTGACAGAAAGAACAGGCAACAAGGGGGGATTGGCCTGTATGTCAGTGAGTCACTCATATGCTCAGAACTTCTTAACACCTTAAATGATGTGGTTAAAGTTTTGGTAGTAAAGATCGAAAACCACAGCCTGGCTGGTCAGTACCAGACCAGCTGGGATGTGATTTGTACGTTGGTTTACGTGTGGCCAGCAGTAACAGCCTGGTTGATCAGGCTCTGAGCCACTGCAAGGCCTGGTCATGGACTGGGCCATGGGGGCATTGACCCTTGTTATGCCCACTGGGTATACTCCAGGATTGACCTAATAGACACTATTGTTCCTATTTCTCATTCCAGAGGAAACTTTTTTTTTATAAATCCCTCCCATATGTGGGTACCATCCTCTTGCCAAACTCTCAGTAGACAGGGCTCAATAGGATTTTGTAGACAAGTATGATTTTGTCAAAATGCTGTATACATAATGTTTTTCAGCATTTTTTAAAGTTATTGTATTATGTACCTGAATGCTACCTAGAGATGTTGCTAGGCGGGAAAGAAGAAGAAGCCTACTGTGTAGGCGAAACGTTTCGGAATAAAGTTGCCTAAATGTTGCCTATGTGTCTTATCTACCAACCTGTCGGTATTGTATACCATTTGATAATCACTCTGTCAGACACTGCAACACAATGGCATCTTAGTACAGAAGAGAAAACACCTTGGACAACTTTTTCAAGTGAGAACTGTTTGATCTGAGAGGGACATGACCTCTCAGTGGCTACATTCTCACTACTACTACTCTTCACCTCTCCTTCTGACAGTATTTAAGTCTCAACACTGTTGCTTGATCTTCAGTTAGTTCCAGACTTTGGAACAGAACTTCTCCAGGCTGAGGGACTGACAACCTCAAATCTACGACCTCAAGGGTGATGGACTGATTACATCGTCTTCACATCTCTACTGCTCCCGCCTACTTTCTGTACTCGACTGAAGAAGCCTACTGTGTAGGCGAAACATTTCGGAATAAAGTTACCTAAATGTTGCCTATGTGTCTTATCTACCAACCTGTCGGAATTGTATACCATTTGATAATCACTCTCTTGTTAATTTTGGGTTCTGCATATAGAATAACTTTTGCTTTCTTAGAAGATTTTATCTTTTTTTTGTTTTCCAGGTTGATACAAAATGCTGGTGGAAAACTCTGGAAATGGCAATGGTGGAGAGGGAAAAGGGTCTAATGGTGGAGGTAATGGTGGTAAAACCAATGGGGTGACAAAAACAAATGGAGGTACCAAAAACAGTGTTAGTAGCAAACCCAGCAGCACCACCAAACCCAATAATTGCAGTAAGCCTAGCAGCTGCAGTAAACCTAGCAACTGCAGTAGGCCCAGCACGTGTAATAAATCTAGCAACTGCAGTAAACCCAGTAGCTGCAGTAAGCCTGCCCCAGCCACACCCCCCAGGAGTACATCCAGTGGAATTGACTCTCAGCTGATGTACACACCACCACATGTCCTTATCCGCTCCATCTCTTCCCTCTCTCAACACTCCCTCAGGCCTTCAACACCCGAACATGACCAGGTGCTGTATTGTCTTGCAATCCTGTAATTACAGTATATTAATTAACTTTTTATAGGGAAGTATTAAACTCTTAAGGGTCTTACAGTGTCTTGAGGAATGAAATGTAATCAGGTTTAATCCAAGGAAAGGGAGAATAGCTCCAGTTTCTTGGGTCAGAATCTTTTCTCCAGTATTCAGGACCCTCTCAATGAAGGGAATCACAGTAATATACTATATAGTATGGTTCATTTACTAAAGCTTAAGGAAAGAAAATTCCCAAGTGAGTATATGGCATCAAAGATTTATGTGGTAGTGATAAAGGGAATATGTATGCTTAACAAAACTAAAGCAATATACTTTTGATCTAATAATAATGCTCCTTGATATACTGACTTAATTACATAGAATGGGAAAATGCACTAAACCTCACTTGAAATTAAAATGTTATACAGTACTATCAGTTAATATACAGTATATAATGTATTGCCTCTTTGCAGGATGATGGGATTGTGTCTGTTCCAGCCTTACGCAAAGGTGTCTTGCTCCAGGCTCGAGACCGCCTCTTCTCACGCTGGAAGGAGCGTTATTTTGTTCTCACCAGAGATTACCTTGCATGTTTCAGGAGAGGTTCTACCAAATATTCTGAAATGGGATCTTTTATATTCAAGGTAGGAACAAATTTATGGTTAAACTATGATGTTATATCTCAGTTGAATGCTATATTGTATAACTATTTGAAGCAGTATACAAGTGAACTGAAATAAAGTATGAAACATGGGTACAAAAACATATTTGATCCAAAATTCATGTTTTAGGTCAACCTAGCCTGTGTTGAGTGTGTAGAGTGGCAGGATCGTCGTGGTGGTCCTGCTTTAGCGTTATCTTTACCCCGTGAAGGACGTGTATTGCTGAGAGCCAAATCAGGTTTGGATCAGTGGTACAGACTATTACTTGAAGCTACTAGTGCCTCACGCCTTCGCCGCAGTGCTCTCCGTCGTGGTACTTCCACTACACACCTGAACAATACCACTAATAACAACTTAGATACCACACCTCCAGCAAAATCAGGTAGGAACCTGTCAAAAAGCCTTTTATTCACTTCATTTGTCACTTATGGTATACATCCTCTTTTCACTTAATGACAGAGTTTCGTTCCTAAGACCACGTCGGTAAACGAATTCGTCACTAAGTGAGGAGCATACTATAATGGTAGTGGGTTAGTGCTAACTATCTTTGATATTGTTTTATGTCACTTTTGCATCATTTATAACATTTCTGGTACGTGTTTAAATGTTTATACAGCAGTGTACTGTACATTGTAATAAACAGAATAGAGGAAATCAGCTCTAATGTACATTATTTAGGTATGCATCCTGGTCAGAGAGCCTGTCGTACGTCTGAGTCATCAGTAAACGAGTACATCACTAAGTGAGGAGAGTCTGTACTGTTCTTAGAGGGGTGGAACACTCTCTAAATAAAAGTTTGATCTAAATATTTTGTTCCCATCAGGACTTGAAGGCTAAGACTGCCTCACAGAAGTTGGGCATTCCTTTTTTTTTTTTTTTAAGGTTTAGATATTTTGTTTTAGTTATGTATTTCAATTCATCGTTCTATTTGAACTTAGCAGTGCCCTTGCATCTAAGGGAAAATCTTTCTAACGAAAATGTTCATAAAATCCAGAGAAAAGTTATTATCTTATTATTTCCATGATCTTACCTCACTGATATCCTCAGCCTCTCGGTGCAAAGTTCAGACCTTATTCTTTCTCAATATTCTGTGAGTTGACTATTGCCAATTCATATAGTGAATAATAACCATGTAATGCTGGCAGTGCACTGTGTTTTCACACACCTAGTATCTTCTATTTTTTTTATATATGCTGTCAGTCCTAAATTTTTATAGAAGTATTTATTCATAAAAATTACACTAAGCCCATAGTATTGTACTAAGCCTAAAATAGTGCTCTGCTCCCTCACTGTTTTATTCCATAGTTTTTTTCAGTGAATTAAGGTAGCAATACCTTGTCTCTCTTGCTGCTTTGATTTACAGTCATATGTTTTCATGGGGGCTTCTGTGTTCTTAGTGAAGGGCTCTTGATATGAGGACTGGGGCCAATTTAGTCCTTCCCTTTCCTTAGATGAAATTATATAACCACCACCTTCCCTGGAAATTTTTAACAACATTGTGATGGTTTTGTGTAATATGACTTATTGCCTATGATGTAAAATGGATTATGAATATGGCTTGTGGAATGCAACTAAAGGACTTTGAAATGTTTAGTTTGCATTGCTATGCTGACTAAGTCAAAATACTTTGACCGAAACATTTCATTGTTAACTCACAATTTGAAGAGAAAACTTCAGGTGACATTTTGGTCCATCCTGGATTATTATCAAGATTTGACACAATGGTCCAAGACTAATCAAAATATTATCTAAAGTTCCCTCCACAAATTGTGGGTTAATACTGAAGTTATTTCTGTAATATAACAAAAAATTAGTCATGATATCATCAAGGTGGTAATGAGTATAGCAAATTACTAAAGATTGTAAATTCTAATGATCTTAGCAACTTCATATGCTCAAAGTACTGAATAACCAGTGAGTTATGGAGATATTTTTTGGAGAGTAGTTAATATCACTTTACATTTTTTTAGCTGTGTTATTTTATTAATTGCCCTGCTCAGCCACTGACTACCATGATACTGTATACTCCTTTACTCAAACACTGTCTGCTGTATTAATATACAGTGTACTCCTTTAAATACCCACTAATCTCTACAGTATATAAATATATACAATAGGGCCCCACTTACACGGCAGGTTAGGTTCCAGGCTACCGCCGGAAAGCAGAATGCCATTTTTTCCAATTATAAATGCATATAAATGTCAGATAACAAGTTTACACTTGTTAGCAGTAGAACTAGGCATTAAAAACAATAAAAAGTTAAATACAGTACACTCATTATTTACCTTAAAATATTTGTAGTCTTAATGTAGGGTGAGAGGTGAGTAGTCCAGTGGTACCTCGGCACACGAACAGCAATACCTTGGCACACGAACAGCTCCCAGCTCGAACAGTTATGTAAGTGTATTTTTGTGAGTGCTTTTGTAAGTGTATTTCTGGGGGTCTGAAATGGATTAATCTAATTTACATTATTCCTTATGGGAACAAATTCGTTCGGTATCGGCACTCGAACAGCCTTCTGGAATGAATTAAGTTTGTAACCCGAGGTACCATTGTATTTATCTGTAGGAAGTCAAGTGTGCTAGGTATGGTAGCCAGCCAGGCCAGCCTACCCTACCCACAAGTAATATACTACGACATTTAAAGTACTCCAGTGCGATAAAATGCATATACAGTATATTCATTACTTACCTTAAAATATTTGTAGTCTTAATGTAGGGTGAGAGGTGAGTAGTATTTATTTGTAGGAAGTCAGGTATAGGAGGTATGGTAGCCAGCCAGGCCACACCACCCACATGCAATATACTCTGGCATTTAAAGTGCCCTGGAGCAATAAAATGCATATACAGTACACTCATTACTTACCTTAAAATATTTGGTCTTAATATAGGGTGAGAGGTGAGTAAATGAGGTAAAAATGAATAAATGAGAGAGAGAATGAGTAAATGAGAGAGGAGAGAGATGCGGAGTTATGTAAACAAATAGATGAACGCATCTGGTTTTGGTTCATATATGTAACATCTCATATTTATATTAATTTATTCTACTGTGGAGTGTATTTATCATGTTTATATGTTATGTAGCATGTTTATTATATAATTTTGAAAAAGATATCATAGATGGATTAATGAAAATGTTTATATTAATGTAATACGTATATGAAATTTAATGCACCTCAGAGTGATTATTATTGTGTATTATCATTATTATCGTTATTATTATGGCGTCCTCAAGACTAATATGACACTCTTAGTGATTTTAATGTGTACCTGCATGCCTACACAGTATGTAAGTTTATTTAGGTACAGGTACACATAAATATCAGAGTATATATAAAATATGACATAGCTTTAAAACACTTGAAATTTTGCAAAGTTTCCAGACATAATGGAGAGACGCAGTGCTCGCAGAGCTCACAGAAAATGTAAACAAACCAGGTGGGGCATGGTGACCATATTAGAAAGTCAGGTGGGGGGAGCCGTATAGAGAATTTTGGTCATAATTTGAAATGTCTGTATTAGCAGAACGCCGTAAAGCGGGGCCCTACTGTACCTCTGTACTGCTATACTATATTCCATTAAGCTCTATAATTAAGAGACCTGCTTAAAATTTTTGCTGATTGTGTATTTATAATTCCAGGTGGTATACAGTATAGTCTAAGTGGGTCAACTCCAGAGATTACAAGACTTTGTGATGCAGTCTGTGATGACTCTCCTGGTGGTAGCAGTGCTCGGGTTCTTACTCGACACCATCGATTTTCCCGTGAGAAATTTATTGATGGAGTGAATGATGATGAAAGTGTTTGTTCTTTTTTTGGGTCACCCTGCCTCAGTGGGAAATGGCCAGTGTTTTAATAAAAAAAGAATAATTATTACATTTCAAATGTATATTTTCACATTAAACATTATTTTTTTAATGTTTAATGTAAAAATATACATTTGAAAGGTACTGTACAGTACTTAGATTTTCAAAAGGCACAGCTCTTCTTACATTACTGTATCAATGTTTATTTTCATATTAATTTGGACTAGTAATACTGGGTAGAAGTGTATTGTTTAAGGTAGAAATTGGTTAATGGTGATAATGACAGATTTTTATTGTCTAAAAATACCATAATTGTTGGTTTTTGAAATGCCTAAACAAATATATGTGAGTTATATAAGGATTGCTCAGGGAGTAGTACATTTAAGGGTAAAGATTTACTGGATGCATAGCAGTTTCAAAAATATGTCTGTTGAATTTTATATATTTTTTTTTTTGTATATATGACTGTGGATGTTGAATTTAATTTTTTAGTGCTATTTATTCTAAAAGTTTTTTAACCCCCTGACTGTCGCAACCCCAAATCCTGAGTTGTCTCTTGGTGTCGCAAAATTTCCGAAAAAAAAAAATTATTTTTCTTATGAAATGATTGAGAATCTTTTCCCAATTTTAATGACATCAAAAGAACGAAATTTGATGGAAAACTTATAGAATTATGCTCTCGCAAAGTTAGCGACCTTGGCGATATTTACGAATCGGCAATTTTGCCCACTTTGAGCCCTATTATCAGTAATTCCATTCTTCCAGTTGACCAAACTCAGAGCTATTTCTTTAGAACTCCATTTGTTCTATCAATTGAGTACAAGAAACTGCCCATTTACAGATTTCAACTACCCAAAAACGTGGTCAAAAATCTGCAATTTGGCCAATTTCACGCATATTAAAAAATATGCCAATTTCAAAATAGGGTCCAGAATGAATATTGCAGACATTCCTGGTTCTAAAACAACATTTTCTTTGTTCATCAGTCACATCTCCAGGCCCCTCTGATATTACTCTTGCTTTCTATTTTGAATTTTTATTTAAACAAAAAATAGAAGATTTACTGTTATGCAGACTACTGCAATATTGTAATAATTGTATAAATAATGTCAACCCATTCATGACTGCATATTAGAATGGCTAGTTGGACATTTATTGGACAATGACATCATTTGTTTACTTTTGAACATCGGCAAAAATCAAACATTTCCCCTAATTTGAGCTCCATTTAAAAGTTCTTTTCATAGTAAAACCAATCAATATCACCTCTGTTTCTATAATATGTTTTCCATTCTATCAAATGAGACCATGAAAACAAGAATACAACCATAAATATTATACGAAAATGTACCACAAATTCGGCATTTTAATAAAAAAAAACGGTCGTTTTTTTTTTCTCATTATACATTGCGTGCTGCAGGATTTTTTTATATGGTGCACACTGACCACACAGACCCATTCTCTCATATGTGGGCCTACCAGCTTTCTCCTGCTTGATTTGAAGCTGCTAGAATTTATGAGTATATATACGTCAAACACGGTGGCTCGTAAGATGTATATGTAGGACTGAAACAGTCAAAGGGTTAACCCTTTCAGGGTCCGTGCCATAGATCTACGGTTTTACGTTGAGGGTCCAAACCATAGATCCACGCCATGAGCTCAGCTCACTCTGATAAGCTGTAAGCAGTAAATTTAGGCCTAGATCTGAGAGAATACATCTATGTGGTATGTGTGCACTGCATAAAACAAATCCTGCAGCACACAGTGCATAATGAAAGAAAAAACTGAGACCGTAATTTTCAATTAAAAGAGCGACTTTGCACTGTTTTTTCGTATTTTTTTTATAGTTGTACAGTATTTGTGATTTCTTAGTCTCATTTGATAGAATGGAAGATATATTACAGAAACAGAGATGATTTTGATTAGTTTAGCACTGAAAATGGCTTGAAACTGAGCTCAAAGTAGCGGAAATGTTAAATTTTTGCCGATGTTCAAGAGTAAACAAATGACCTCACGCCTAATACACACCAGCTGGTGGGTCTAATATACGTTCACAAATGTGGTGATAATATTTATACAATTATTACAATATTGCATAACAGTATATCTTCTATTTTTTGGTTTGAATAAAAATTCATTATGTGAATAAAAAATAAAAATGAAATTCATTTGTAAAGCCTGAAAACGTAACTAATGAATAGAGGAAATGTTAGTTTAGTGCCAGGAATGCCTGCATTGTTTATTCTGGACCCTATTTTGAAACTGGAATATTTAGAACTTTGCATTAAATTGGCCAAATTACCAATTTCTGATCACTTTATTTTGTAGTTGAAACAGTTGACTTGGCGATTTCTTGTGCTCAATCGATAGAATAGAAGTAATATTAGTGAAATAGCTAAGAATTTGGTCGACTGGAATAATGTAATTGGCCTAAAATGGGAGTCAAAGTCGGCAAAATCGCCGATGCGTAAATATCGCTGACACACCAAAATTTGCGAGAGCATAATTTCGTCAGTTTTCCATAAAATTTCGTACCTTTTGTTTTATTACCTTCAGAAAAAGATTCTCTACCATTTCATAAGTAAAAATAACAAAATTATTTTTTGACAATTCTTGGACACTGGTGCACACTTTGAAATTTGGCCTCTTAACCCTGAAAGGGTTAATTAAGTGGTCTACTTATAAATAATAAGATTTTTCTTAATTGTGTTTTTTTAGTTTTCTCTATTTATTAATTTATTTAAGGAGTTTATTAATGAGATTACTCATTAACTAGATTTGTTCAGTGCTTGAGAAGACAATTGTAATATCATTAGCGAAAAGTATTAGTGAGAAGTAATGGGTGGCAGTTAGGAAGCTCATTAATATACAGTGCAGTTTTAAGGAACAGGAGATGGTCAACACAAATTTTAATTAGGAGTATAGGAGAGAGAGACAGTGTCATTTATGGTAACTTATTGGTGCCTATTACTTAGGGAAGATAGTTTTTATAGTCTAGGTTCAAAAATTAATCAAGTTGGGTATTCATTCTTATCAGGCGTTGCTTGTACAATGTCTGTTTTTTTCATATATAATATAATTTGTACATTTTTTAAGGTCTTAAACTCAAAAACAGATTTAGTATATTATGTTTTGCTATGCAAGCATATCACTGCTTGTGCATATAGTACTCTCTTCAACCATTTGTAATAACATTGGTACTGTAGGTTTAATATTGGCTAGGATGTGTGATGTCACCGTGGTTGTTTAATATATTTATAGATGGGGTTGTAAGAGAAGTAAATGCGAGGGTCTTGGCAAGAGGCGTGGAGTTAAAAGATAAAGAATCACACACAAAGTGGGAGTTGTCACAGCTGCTCTTTGCTGATGACACTGTGCTCTTGGGAGATTCTGAAGAGAAGTTGCAGAGATTGGTGGATGAATTTGGTAGGGTGTGCAAAAGAAGGAAATTAAAGGTGAATACAAGAAAGAGTAAGGTTATGAGGATAACAAAAAGATTAGGTGATGAAAGATTGAATATCAGATTGGAGGGAGAGACTATGGAGGAGGTGAACGTATTCAGATATTTGGGAGTGGACGTGTCAGCGGATGGGTCTATGAAAGATGAGGTGAATCATAGAATTGATGAGGGAAAAAGAGTGAGTGGTGCACTTAGGAGTCTGTGGAGACAAAGAACTTTGTCCTTGGAGGCAAAGAGGGGAATGTATGAGAGTATAGTTTTACCAACGCTCTTATATGGGTGTGAAGCGTGGGTGATGAATGTTGCAGCGAGGAGAAGGCTGGAGGCAGTGGAGATGTCATGTCTGAGGGCAATGTGTGGTGTGAATATAATGCAGAGAATTCGTAGTTTGGAAGTTAGGAGGAGGTGCGGGATTACCAAAACTGTTGTCCAGAGGGCTGAGGAAGGGTTGTTGAGGTGGTTCGGACATGTAGAGAGAATGGAGCGAAAGAGAATGACTTCAAGAGTGTATCAGTCTGTAGTGGAAGGAAGGCGGGGTAGGGGTCGGCCTAGGAAGGGTTGGAGGGAGGGGGTAAAGGAGGTTTTGTGTGCGAGGGGCTTGGACTTCCAGCAGGCATGCGTGAGCGTGTTTGATAGGAGTGAATGGAGACAAATGGTTTTTAATACTTGACGTGCTGTTGGAGTGTGAGCAAAGTAACATTTATGAAGGGATTCAGGGAAACCGGCAGGCCGGACTTGAGTCCTGGAGATGGGAAGTACAGTGCCTGCACTCTGAAGGAGGGGTGTTAATGTTGCAGTTTAAAAACTGTAGTGTAAAGCACCCTTCTGGCAAGACAGTGATGGAGTGAATGATGGTGAAAGTTTTTCTTTTTCGGGCCACCCTGCCTTGGTGGGAATCGGCCGGTGTGATAATAAAAATAAATAATAAAGTTTTCAACTTCTTTGGGATCATAAAGTGATCCAGATAAATGAAAATAAAAATGCATAAATATCTCAGCTCCAAGACATTTTTAGCAAATACATCTTTGTTAGTACTGTACTGCCACACCACATTGAAAGAAAATGAGAAGTCCCAGTTTTTATGTAGCACAGTAGATGTGATTTACAATTTCACATTGCTTATAGGTTATAGATTTAAAGGTGCTATTATATTCAGTATAGCTTTCTTGAGAAATTCCAGGTTTTTATGTAGCACCATAACATTAGGCATAATTCATAATTTTACATTGCTCATATGTTTTAGGTGTAAAGGTATTGTACTGTGTACAGTATAGCTTTCTCTTAAGGATATAAAGATATTTTTTCCATTAATGTTAAAGATTAGTGAATAAATGTTTTGCATAGCACTGAGGCTGTCAGTCTGTAAAAGTATTTTTATATTATAACTTTGTTGATTAACTCCATGAGGAAGTGGAGAAGAATCCTCTGTCCATAAGCAATGCATGTTGTAGGAGGTGACTTAAGTGCTGGGAGCAAGGAGCTAGTAACCTCCTCTGTGTAAATTACTAAATGTAAAAATGAAAAAAACTTATATTTCTTCTTTTTAGGGTCATCCTGCCTTGGTGGGAGACAGCGGTGTGTTAACAAAAAATACTGTTGAATAGTCAGTAATTCAATTTATAAAACTGCACCCGTTTTCTCTCCCCCCATCCAACAGTTCTTGCTGATATGGACCTTGGCTCTATTGACACAGATGTAGCTACTCCACCCTCCTCAGTAACCTCTTCAAACAAATTTAGTACATCAACTTCAACTTCTAATACTTCAGGTGAGCCTTATAAAAGACAGTCAAAGAACAGGTAGAGTAATATAATTAATGATACTTTTCAAATCACTTGTGGTCTCATGGCTTGAATATTGTTCTGTGCTTATGATACCTTTCAGGGCACGAAAGATATCAGAGCTTGAAAATTTACAGAGGTTATGGACTGCCCACATAAAGTCAGTAAAACATTTAAATTTCTTTGAATGCTTCGAACCATATGGATTGTTCTCTCTTGCACAAAGAGAGAGAGAGAGAGATACATGATAATATACTTAAATTGGAAGATTCAGTACCTGAGGGCCTGGTCTCTAATCTGCAGTGTAAAGCAAGAGTGCCATGGGTACAATTAGAGAACTTTGTGTCAATATCCATGGCCAAAAAGATTTCAACCTGTTACCAGTAGAAATCAGAAATAATGCTGGAATGAAGGTAGAGGTTTACAAGAGAAAACTGGACTGTTTATCAGCTGGATTGTGATGGCTGTGCATACCTTCATGTTGCTACCACAAACAGCCTGGTTGTCGAAGCACTCAAGAAAGAGGCCTAAACTGAGGCTGGGCTACAAGGGTACACCTCTCATAACTGGTCACAAATATGTCACAGGTAAATAATAAATGATGGTAAATGTGTTTTTCTTCTTTGGGTCAGCACTGCCTTGGTGTTTGGAAATGGCTGATGCTAAAAAATATATATACATGTTATTTTTATTTATTTTTTATTATCACAGTGGCCGATTCCTACCAAGGCAGGGTGGCCCGAAAAAGAAAAACTTTCACCATTATTCACTCCATCACTGTCTTGCCAGAAGGGTGCTTTACACTACAGTTTTTAAACTGCAACATTAACACCCCTCCTTCTCCATATATATATATATATATGGAGATGTCCTGTCTAAGGGCAGTGTGTGGTGTAAATATTATGCAGAAAATTCGGAGTGTGGAAATTAGGAAAAGGTGTGGAGTTAATAAAAGTATTAGTCAGAGGGCAGAAGAGGGGTTGTTGAGGTGGTTTGGTCATTTAGAGAGAATGAATCAAAGTAGAATGACATGGAAAGCATATAAATCTATAGGGGAAGGAAGGCGAGGTAGGGGTCGTCCTCAAAAGGGTTGGAGAGAGGGGGTAAAGGAGGTTTTGTGAGCGAGGGGCTTGGATTTCCAGCAAGCGTGTGTGAGCGTGTTAGATAGGAGTGAATGGAGACGAATGGTACTTGGGACCTGACGATCTGTTGGAGTGTGAGCAGGGTAATATTTAGTGAAGGGATTCAGGGAAACCGGTTATTTTCATATAGTCGGACTTGAGTCCTGGAAATGGGAAGTACAATGCCTGCACTTTAAAGGAGGGGTTTGGGATATTGGCAGTTTGGAGGGATATGTTGTGTATCTTTATACGTATATCCTTCTAAACTGTTGTATTCTGAGCACCTCTGCAAAAACAGTGATAATGTGTGAGTGTGGTGAAAGTGTTGAATGATGATGAAAGCATTTTCTTTTTGGGGATTTTCTTTCTTTTTTGGGTCACCCTGCCTCGGTGGGAGACGGCCGACTTGTTGAAAAAAAAAAAAGTATAATGTATATATATATATATATACATATTTTTTTTTTTTTTTTCAACAAGTCGGCCGTCTCCCACCGAGGCAGGGTGCCAGTACTGACCGAATTTGTTCCCATAAGGAATATTGTGAAGTAGATTAGTCTATTTCAGACCCCCAAACATACACGTACAAACGCACTTACATAAATACACTTACATAATTGGTCGCATTCGGAGGTGATCGTTATGCGGGGGTCCACTGTATATTTCATCCATGCCTATCTCAACATTTGTAGTAGTGGCAGACTCCTATATGCATTACAGGCTATCCAGAAATTCAGTTTCCCTCATCCAATCATTTTATGTATTATATAACTTTGGTTAAGTCATGTTTCTAATAAACACAAAGACATTGTTTTCTGTTGGGTCCCTGGACACATAGATGTTCAGGGCAATGAGCAGGCAGACTTCAGTACTCAGTCAGCAGTTCATGACCTCCTCATTTCATACAGGGGTCTTCTTTCTCAGACTATTTTGCAGTAATCTCTCAACAACTTGGCAACTACTGGCAATAAAGGTGGTCTGAGTTGGCCCACAATAAATTGCATTTTGTCAAACCATGTTTGGGTTTCTGGCCATCTTACCATTGCTGTTGTATTTGGGAGACTACACTCTCCTGCCTACATATTGGACACACATGTCACAAGTAGCATATGGAAAAATGCTTGGCACCATTCTATGAGGATTGCCATGTTGAGTTATTAGTTCAGCATCTCTTAATAGATTGTCCTATCTGTCTGCAGGATTGCAGAATTTACATCCAATGCCTTCACTGCCTTATCACACCTTACCTGACCTCCTCACTGGAAGTCCCACCTTTGATGCATACTCTTTCTTTGACTTTTATCAGAAACCAACTTATTACTACATCACTTTGATTATATTTTCCCTCCCCACTACCCTGGTTGATTAGGCCCTGATCCACCATGAGGCCTGGTCTCAGACCAGGCTGCGGGGGCGTTGACCCCCAAAACCCTCTCCAGGTAAACCCTCGCTAACTCCTACCAGTGTGTGGTAGGAGTGTGGAAGAGGTAACTCTACCTCTTCCACACTCCTACCACACACTGGTTTCTGACCTTTGCACATTCCACCCTGCAGTGCTGTATGACCCTTTTTGGTTTATATTATTATTATTGTGTACATACTTAATGTAGTTTGGGGATTAGGAGGTGCAGGATTACCAAAACTTATCCAGAGGACTGAGGAGGGGTTACTGAGATGGTTCAGACATGTAGAGAGGATGGAACAAAATAAAATGACTTCGAGAGTATATAAATCTGTAGTGGAGGGAAGGCGGGGTAGGGGTTGGCCTAGGGAAGGTTGGAAGGAGGGGGTAAAAGAGGTTTTGTGTGCGAGGGGCTTGGACTTCCAGGAAGCATCCGTGAGCAAGTTGGATAGGAATGAATGGAGACAAATGGTTTTTAGGGCTTGACATGCTATTGGAGTGTGAGCAAGGTAACATTTATGAAGGGATTCAGGGAAACCGGCAGGCCGGACTTGAGTCCTGGAGATGGGAAGTACAGTGCCTGCACTCTGAAGCAGGGGTATTAATGTTGCAGTTTTATAACTGTAGTGTAAGCGTGCCTCTGGCAAGACTGATGGAGTGAATGATGATGAAAGTTTTTCTTTTTCAAGCCAACCTGCCTTGGTGGGAATCGGCTGATGTGTAATATAAAAAAAAATACTTTACCTTGTAATACAAATCTCACTCAATGTTATGTACAAAAATATAATTCAGGGTCAGGTGGATCTTCATCATTGGCCTCTTCACCTTCACTTCGAGGCTCTTGTGCTTGGCCCCGTCCATCATCTCCTCTGCGTCCTGTTTTGGGTGATGCTCCGAGGTCAAGGCTCTCACTGTATGAAGGTACCCGTGAAATGCCAGCCAGTGCAAAGATGCGACATTCAGTTTGTCTTGAGCCCAGGGACCAGACTCAGGATCTTGCTAGAAAACAGAAGAATAGACATTCTATATGTGTAGAACCTCGTGACTTGGCACGAACTCGAGCATCACTCTGCCTCGAGCCCCGTAATCCTTTATTGGACCTAATGGAGAGTGTAGAGGCCATTCCTTCATTGCTGTCCCCTGAAGGCTCTCGACTTCCAACATCTACTAGAACATCACCATCAAAGAGTGAAGGTATGCTTAATCCATAAGATATAACTTTTCTATTTTGTATTTAACTAGGTGCATGTAAAAAATCATTGTAAAATTTAGGCCTACAATCTCCTTAAATCTCAAATTAAAAAAATTTAGAAGGCTATTTGTAGATATAGTGCAAGAAAAAAGCTATTCTTGTGGTGTCCCACCATCATCAAATATAATTTCTTAAGATATTCTTGTGGTTGTAGCATTTACTGCAAATTTTATTCTATTCCAGTAGTCTACAGTTATATTTGTGAACAAATATTTCCTTGTGTCATTTTGGCACCACTTTTCTTCTCAGTTTTTTATCTTTTAATGTTTCTTCCTTTTTGTTGTCTTATGCTGATGTGTTTACTGAAGGTATTCCAAATTGATTCATTCAGTGTAAGCAGGTATTGATTGCAACATTTGTATAAGATAAACAATCATAATGTGTAAATTTCACTGACTGCAACATTTTTATAAAATAGACTCACTATGTGGAAATTTATTGATTTACAAGTCCTTTACAACAAATTATAGACTAAACAAGCTATTGCATTGTAATTGTTGAAATTTATAATTTGCAGAATGTTATTAATATATCAGTGCATAATTACTTTCCTGTTAGGTGACAGAAGATCTAGCAGTGATGTCCCACTCATGGGAAATGAAGTTGACACTAGTCCTTGTCCAGGGGCTGCTCCCACCCGTCCACGTGCACATTCAACCTCACTCACTCCAGAGCGTTCTTTAGGCCCACGTTCACGGTCTAACTTGGGCTTCTTCCGACACTCAGGCCTCTTTAATCATTAGGCCTCCAAGGAAAATAATTAAATAAACATATTCTGTGTAAGATTAATTTAAAGCTTTATTGTACCTTACAAAATCTATAAGTGCTCATCACACTGCCTCAATGTTTTCATTGTCCCAATTAAGCAGCATCCACTGTCTTTTTCTTGGTTTAATAGTTGCAGTGCTGTTTTGTTATTATTTTTACTATTATTATTATTATTATTTTATAATTATTTATGAGGAAGTGCTCAACCTATAAGGGCCTTACAGTGCTTTGGGAATGAGAAGGGTGGGGGGTAATCAGTTTGATCCATGAATGGGAGGATAGCTTTGATTCCTTGGATCAAAAGCCCTTCATGAGCATTATGGCACCCTCTTAAAGGTCTTATAGTTGCAAAGAGAACATTTTGAATGATATGAGATTTCATAGACTAAGATAACCAATGGAAAAGGAGTAACTAATGATTTATTTGTATCCATCTAGCAGAACTGAACATGCATTTTAAACCTTAATAAATTTCTTGTATGTTTTATGAAAATAACTTCGTTATGTACATTTATGTAACACCTTTTTCTGATGTAAAAGTATATATTGCATTTTCTAATACACTATAGTGCAATCAGTCCATAATACCCTTCTTATTTGAAATTTTACAAGTGCTTTATTCTTGCAGTCTTATTTTTTGTAACAATTTAAAATGGTAGATTATACCAAAATGTGAAATAGTGTATACAGTATAGTTAAGTCTCAAGAGTTACGTTAAATTTATGATGTATAGCAAGAAGTGTTTTATAAGCAATAAGAGAGATACCTTAATTTTGCAGTTTACAGGATGCATTTCATGGGTAGAAAATGATTCATCAATAATTTACTGTATGCTAATATTTAAGTAGGGGAAGAGGTTATAAAACTAACAAACAAGCTGATAAAAAGAAACTGCAGTAAATCCTCGATATAACAATGGACCTTGATATAATGAACTTGGAAATAATGGGCAAAATCCACTAGGTAAGTTGTACTTTTAACTTTTTTTTTTATTTTCAGTGTTTATTGTGGTATATATATAAAGTGTGTAGATTATTTAAGTGTTTTTTGCTATTTTTCAACTATTCTGATTTAACAGGCACTCAGACAATCCCCCCGTTAATCCATTTCATCGAGGGTTTACTCTGTTAGAATAGAACCTTTATTAAGACAATGTTTTGCTTTGAGACCAAACTTTTTCAAGTCATTATGGTAAGCATGCTTGTGTATTCTCAGACGAGCAGGTGACAAGGAGATGAGGTATAAACCTTACTACCTCAGGTCAGGAGGGCAATGCCCAGGGTCCTGCCAACTGGAAATTTCACTGGTTCTGGGTGATGGTGTCTGTGGTATGAATGAGTACTAATTGCAGGCATTTTCTTCTGTTCCTGTCTATCATGGATGACCATACTCGCCCTGGACTAATCCATGTAGTGTGAAGCTGTGTTATGTTGCAAGCACAGGAATTGTTGGTGTTACTGGTGCAGCAAGCATATTTGTCTTCATATTATTCCTGTGGACAAATCCCTATCTGTCTCAGTTACCTATCTCATTTACATATACCTTATTGCAACTACTACATGGGATGATTTAGATATCTGCATTCTCCTCACACCTGGCATTAACCTTGTTAGAGCTAGTGCATATACTTTCTAAAGACTTGGAAAACTTGGTCTCCAAGCAAAACATTGTCTCAGTAAAAGTTTCTCTTCTGCTATAGTGCATTTTTAACAGTATTTTAAGCACCTACTGGTAATATACAGAAAATAGTAGTTACCCCCTATTACCAAACTGCTGATTTTTGTAGTCAAACTTGTCTACAGTAAAACAGCCAGAAGGAAGATCATCAAATACAGTAGTCATAAGGCATACTAATCTACCTACCTGCAAAGACAATACTTTTTTTTTTTTTTGTTTACTGAAAATTATACAGTGTATATATATTTTTTGTAAACCTCTCAACTTGTATTTGCTGTATATTGAAACTTTGTTATTTGCCTCTTGTATTTGTATGTTAATATGACTGGGGAGCAGAGTCCTGTTGAATGACCTGTGAATCTGCCCAATTCCTTCTGGTTCCAGTCTAGAGAAAGGCAGCATGTGCAGCAGTCAAAACGTACACTTTTTTTTTTAACACACCCATCTCCCACCAAGGCAGCTTAATCCTTAAAAGAGGGAACACTTTCACCATCTCTCATTTAGTTACTGTCTTACCATAAGTGTGCTACAGAGTGCAGGCAATGTACTTCCCACACCGGGACTAAAGTTTGGTTAACCAGTTTACCCCAAATCCCTTCAAAACTGTTACCTTGCTTACACTTCAACAGCATGTCAAGTCATAAAAGCATTTGCCTCCACTCTCTCTTTCTCTGTTCCTTCCCTTTCTCTTCCCTCATACCTAAACCTAAGCCTCACTGTCTACACAAAACCTCTTGTTTTTAGTAACCAACCATTTATTACATACATTTATCACATTGCTCCTCTCTCCACCTTATAATATGCCTTTTCTAAATCCGTGTGTGAAAGAAAAAATATTTCATATGTGATGTCTTCACACTTCTGGCAAGACAGAGATTGAGTGTCTGACAATGACTACATTTCCTCTTGTTTTATGGGCCACCCTACCTTGTTTACTCATTTATTGTAAGAGAAAAATACAATACATGGGTTGGGGAAAGGAGGACATTAGTACACACCTTTTATGACACAGCAGTCTCATTGTGAAGCAAATCATCAGCTAATTGGCAGCACAAGTGGTAGCTGCCACTCACATTTTTTGCAGAAAATTATTTCAGCAATGCATCATTTTATTTTGCTGGAACTGTTTGTAAAAACTGGTTATAAACCATGGATATGAAGCATTACAGTTGAAAAATAAAGGCAGCTGTCATTATTTGGTGCATTCTTCCCACGTGAACACACAGTGTATGATGATTTTATTCCAAGATGTATATCACTGTATTTTGCTGGAAATTAAGTGGAGAAGCTGGCTACACAACATAGATGTAGATGAAACTATAGTTTTCATTAGCATTGTTGAGTAAAAAGATGACAAAAAGCAATGTGACCAATATTTGATAAGATTTATTGTTTTATAATTTATTAATAATTATTGTATAAGATATAACTTTTAAACAATGTATTCAGGCTTTTTTTTTTATCCATAGCTCACAAGTGTTACTTGCAAATTTGATTTTTGTTGAACTTGTAGGAGGACTGTAAGCTCCAGTGAATAACAAAGTTTCAATTTACTGTACTTTAGTATTAATAAATAAATTCTTGAAACTGCTGAAAAGTAAAATCTACTGTACAAAATGTACAGGTATTCTCTGTTAAAAACTAGTCACTTTTGTGGGTGTGGACATGATAAAGAATTATAAGGAGTACTGTAATTGCATTTTACAAATGTTACTCATGATAAGTTGTCTTTTGAGGACATTTAATTATTTTTTTCAGTAAACTTGATTTGGTGTTTCTTACTTGTATGCAGCAGGAGACCTGAAATTCAAGCAGAAGATTCCAGCTTGATTGCAGATGAATCAATAAGCATGGATGAAGCAATAATTTAATACATATTATTATTAATAATTAAAAATAAAATAGAGATGACTTAGTATACAAAATGATGTCATTTATATTTTGTAAGTCATGTTAAAATAAAATCAACAAGGTTACATAATAATATTCAGTCATCTTCTGCATTGTAATGTGCTGGTCTTTATATTTTTCCTGATACACTTTCTTCCAGACACTCATAGTATTTCGTCTTAGATATATCTGCAAGTCATGTTATATTGTACATAATAAGCTAGTCACAATTTCAAATGTAATGGGAGAGCATGTTTTGTAACACACCACTGAAACACTGCAATATTTAAATGTATTTCAAATTTAAACAACTTTGTTATTTGGCTGTAAGTAGTTCATTACAATGGATTTCAAATAATAAATTTCATGCAGAATTACACAGCAGTTAGGGTAATATTACGACTAATACAGGTTGACTATCACTAATCCGGCATCATCAGGACCTGTAGGGTGCTGGATTAGTGATTTTGTCAGATTACAGAGTGGTTAAGTTAGAATACATTTACCCCAACAGTTAACCACCTTGTGCTACCTTTAAAATACCCCGTAAATCAGTACAAGTTGGTTAACCCTATCACTGATGGAAATATGCTCTCGCAAAGTTAGCGGTCTCGGCGGTGTTTATACATCGGCCATTTCACTCACTTTACGCCCTATTTTTGGCCAATTCCATTGTCTAGTTAACCAAACTCAGCTATTTCGCTAGTATTCCTTCTATTCTATCAATTAAGTATAAGAAACCAGCCATTTACCTATTTCAACTGCCCAATAAAGTAATAAGAAATCGGTAATTTGGCCAATTTCACACAAATTGCAGGAGGTGCCAGTTTCAAAATAGTGTCTAGAATAAGTAATGCAGACATTCCTGGCACTAAAATAACATTTTCTCTGTTCATTAGTCACGTCTCCAGGCCCCTCTTATATCACGCTTGCTTTCCATTCTGAATTTTTATTCACACAAAAAATAGAAGACTTACTGTTATGCAGACTACTGCATTATTGTAATAATTGTATAAATAATGTCAACCCGTTCGTGACTTCGTATTTGACTGGCCAGTTGGACACATATTGGACGAGTGACGTGATTTATTTACTCTTGAACATCAAAAATCAAACATTTCCAGTATTTCGAGATCAATTTCAATGTACTTTCCCTTCTGAAAACAATAAAAATGATCTCTATTTTTGTAATATATCTTCCATTCTATCAAATGAGGCCAGAAAACCGAGAATACAACCATAAAAACCATATGAAAATACGTGAAAATACGCCACGGTCGAAGTTTTTCCTCAATATGCACTACATAATGCAGGATTTTCTTATATAGTGCACACTTACCACATGGACGTATTCTCTCATATCTAGACCCAGATTTACAGGTCACTGCTTATATGAGTGAGCTGAGCTCATGTCGTCATACTACAGGACCAACAGTAGATTCAAAGGTGTGATACAATGGGACCAACAATGAATGGGTTAATAAAGTTAACCAATTTGACTTA